TTATAGATTATTATTATTATTATATTATTATTTACCGTTATTTAATCAGGCAAGTCCCACTGAGATCTCAGATCTCTTTTTCAAAGGAGGCCTGGGCCTGAAGGCAGCTTATTGTACATGTTTTTGGGAGTGGGGGAAACTGGAGTACCCGGAGAAAACCCACGCAAGCACGAGGAGAACATGAAAACTCTGCACATGAAAGACCCCAAGTCCGAACCGGGGATCAAACCCAGGACCTTCTTGCTGTGAGGCGTTGGTGCTAACCACTGAGCCATCGTGCCGAAAGTCAATTGTGTGAATAGAGAACATCAATTCCCAAAAAAACATTTAAGGACAAGTGTAATTTTTTGGCTGTTTTCACAAACTTTCCAGGGTCTTGAAATAATTTTTTCCACATTCGCAAACTTTCAAGGACCCGTGGGAACCCTGGTTTAAAGATAAATCCAAACAATAYGGCATGCCGACTACATAAACAGGACAACAAATGAAGAGGTGGTCATGCACAAATAGGGTGAAACTACACATTTGTATAAAAGCGTACTTTCTGTAATTTCTCTACCTAATTTGCTGTTTAGAGGTAAAATTTTCTCCTGATTGGACTTCAGGTAGTTTAGTGCACATAAAGTTATTCTGCCACCATGCTGAAGACTCAACCTGTTCATTTGACAGCCTTATAGTAGCCTAATGTTCTTAAAGGCAGAAATCAACATTACATTTACACATCAGTATTGCTCTCACAACGGATGCCACAGCAGCCACCAGGGGCTGAAGAGAAGCATGCAACATGAGCTATAACCCCTAAAAGGTCATGTTGGGCAGTTTCTAGTTGAAGAGTGGACAACTAGATCCAAAATGGAGTAATCTTTGTTATTTAATTTTATAACCAGTTACAGTACCCAAGTTCTACCAAAACAAAATAAAGTATATCTACAGAAGTAACAATTACTGAAATTTAAAGTTGTCTGTAAATGCAGCACGAGATTTGTAATAATCGGTTGTACAAGATGGACAAGAGAATTATAACAATTTATCAAAACCCTTTCTAATGGAACTCCCTCACATACCTGTGATTACACCTGGTGCCTGGGCAGCCATGACGGCCTGCGGTAATCCCATCTGCTGACTGAGAAGTTGTGGCGCAGCCAACGCCCCTAAGACTGACGCACCAGCTACAGCCTCCTTAAGAGAGGGGGGGGCCGAAGACATTAGGCAAGGGAAACACACAGAACACAGCACAAAGCAACACAGTCAACAATCACAGCAAAGAGTGAACTCAACCTCCAAATCCAGGTGACAAAAGGTATTAGATTACATATTAGCAAGTTAATATGTAGCTGGGATAAAATATTCAATAAAATAAAGAAATCACTGACTTCACAGTAAAACAAAATAACCAAATTGTTCATAGAAAATTACAGTGATTATATTTCCAGTGCATTGTATATTATGCAAAAAATGTGTTCAGTATTTTAAACATATTTAAATGAATTTAAAAAGTCTTATTTCTAAAGACTTGATAAACTAACACTGTCTTAGCAACTACTGATTTATGTAACCTTTAATGAATTGGCCATATCTCAGTTGCATTAGTATATATATAAAAAAAAAGAAAAACTACGTTCATGTCATGTAATTAACTCTATCTGGGCCATATTTACCTGGAGGGCCACTAAATCCCTTTGGAAGGGATTCATACTTGCCTGGGCCGTTATCTTAGCGGTAGCTGCCGCCGCAGCCACAGCTGCTGCTGGTGGCAGCCCACCTGGGGTTGTGGGGGTCAGTAAAGGCATTGGTGGAGTCACTGCTTTGCCAACTCTTAAATATTGACCCCCCAGGTCAAAGAGGTTCATTGAGGACACAGCATCCAGAGCTGACTGAGGCTTTTCGTACTCTGTTGAGGAATAAAACAACAGTAAATAGAAGAGAATTAGCAACACGTGAACACGAAAGAGTGACACCCCCCCCACTCAAAGCTCACCAATGAAGCCAAAGCCTCTGTGTCGCCCAGATGTGGGGTCTCTGGCTAACGTGCAAGACTTGATCCTGCCGAAGGCCTCAAACACACTCTTGATGTCGTCGTCCGACAGGTCAGGGTGGACCGACGCCACGTAGATCCGGTTATAGGCGCGCGCCTCCTCTGCCAGCTGGTCGATGATGGGTTGCGCCTGACCGATGTTACTTGGCCGCCCAACTTATAGTACAGATTAAAGCAGCGGGGCTTCTGAATGGCGGGGTCGGCAAAGGAGTAACGCAAAACGCACTAAGCTCTGACCACCAGCGGACGTCAACTTTCAGCAGCCACCAGGTTCTGTCAAAGCCACTCAATTCTATTATCCAACTCTGCCAGCTGAAGAGCTGGAGTGAAAACTACTACAGTATTTTTCCTACCAACAATACTTGAACACAACCAGCTCATAGTTTAGCAATGTGTCCCATTTACAAAAATAAAGAATAACAAATTTGCTTAAAAACAAATTTGCAACCGTAACAAAGTGGCACTCACTGAACTGGTGGCAAACTCAAAGTGATATCTGCTCAACTTAAGCTAACGTCATACTGTCTATCTCTCTCTCTTGTTCGCGGAATAAAAACTGTCCCTGTTTTAAGACGAGCACCTAAGTGGGAATGAGATCTGTACTACAGGTGAGGCGGGCAAGTAACACCACCCAGGCGCAGTCCATCATCAGCACATCGTGGGAACAGAGTGATTTCACGCACCGCTGCTGGGCATCTCGCTGGAAATCGTCACTTACACAACACGCACGCAAACACACACACACACACACACACACGCACAAACAACTTATACAGTAAACACACACCCAAACATACATAAATCACAAACCTGGAAACACACACAGAAACAGACACCAAACAGGAAGATAAATTAATTTGATGTAGAAATATACTTAAAAATAAACTACTGCAAAAAAAACAAAAAATAAAAAATAAAAAATAAAAACAAAAAGGTGATTTTTGAGGCTTACTAAGACAAGTGTTCCTCTGCAATGTTCATATCAAAATTCAAATTTTCTTTTACAGCATTTATCTGTCTGCACCAGAGCCCAAGAAAAACAAACCATCACCTTTTTGAGTTTGTAATTTAATGGCAGGGTTCAAGTCTTCAACAGTTATTCTGTAAAAAGAAGTTCTCATTTGAAATAAGAAAGAAAAAGCTGATTTAGTGCCGGGTTAACTTCTGACCCACAGTGTATGCAAACTTGGGTCAATCGTCTGAACTGAGAGAAAACATTTTTAAAGGTATTGCTTGAAAAATTACATTTTAGAAGTTCTGTTATATCTTGAAACTAGAACAGTTTTTGCACATCATTTTCCTATCATACAGTATAACTAACTATCTTTGAAGACTGTGATAAAATACTTCCAACGCTTAAAAAAAGGGAAAGAAAATCTCACCTTAATGTTTCGTCCTCCCAACATGACGGAGTTCATCTGTTCCAGAGCCAGCTGAGCAGCTTCCGGCACGTCGTACTCCACAAAGGCAAAGCCCTGCAGTCAAAACATCCAAACGTAACAAAACATCTGGCCTCCCATAAGTCCTAAATGACGTTTAAAACGACACTGACCTTGTGCTTCATTGTAACCGAGTCCCATGACATGTCAATGCTCTTGATTGGGCCGAAGGGGGCGAAGGCCTGTCTGATGGTGTCCTCGCCAAGCTCATAGTAGATGGAGCCCACATACACCCGACACATGATCGCCAGGGCACGTTGCCGCTGAGCTGCCACCTGTGGGAAAACGACACATATTAAGCATTAAAAAGTAAAATAAAAGAAGCTAATCACTCACACACAAACACATTTTTAAAAAAAAATCTGCATTTTCAATTGGGCTTGCTTTCCAAAAATGTTAAAAGCCAATTCCAGATTTGGGAAGTCTGGACAGGTGATTGGGGCAGTAAAAAGGTACTTTAATTAACAGGCATATTGTGTACTAACATGTGAGTGCTTTTTAACACTGATGTGATTAACTTATGGCCTACATTCTGTTACTAATGAACAGAAATAAGGAGTAAAACACACCTAAATCATTGGCATGCACAGCCCTCACAAATGTTTGGCTTCAGTAACTGACCTGTGATCCAGGGATGCAAGTAAGGTAACAAAAGTAACCATGGCGTTCAAACGAAATCCATACAAAGTCTTGACGAAAGMATTCAAACTTTCTTCTCAAGTTTACGTTGAGGGATGATTTAATCAGCAAAAGTTGGTGTGTTTTAGTGATGCCTTTAGACTTAACGCCGCTTCTCCTCAATTCAATGGATTATCCACTATTAATTAAGGWTTTCTAATCTACAACATGACGAGATGACTTGTTCGTTCACCGGAGGGAAAAAATTTAAAATAAAAAAATAAGAAAAACTAGACTGAGATGGCACAAAAGATCCCTGTCATAGAAGTTCTCTCATTTTGGTCCATAAATAGATTGCTATCCCTCTTTTGTCCCATGCCAAAAGCTGTTTTTAAAGCAAGGAAATGCATATTTTCCAAGGAGACGTGCCTTTTCTTCTTTTTATAGGCTTCTGTAAATAAAAGCTTATTTGCCTGCCTGATTAATAAGTAATAAAGCAAATAATCCCATATTTTAAAAACCCTAATCAATGCTTCTATGAATTCTTTATCTCAAACCCTACGCAGGTGGTTGCAAAGCCATGTTTCTTTGTAAAATATGCACTTTTTATTTAGATTTAAAAAGGCAGGGATCGTTGCCAATGCAACCAGTAAAAGAAGGGTAACAGTCCTTTTCCCATTGGAAATGCGCACAAGAAAAAAAATTTAATGATCTATTGACCGATTGTAAAGGTGAGAGAGGATCTCCAAAGCCCATTGTCACTGCTGCCATCTGAAAGACAGTAAAGATGGAAAAAGTGCTGAAAAGTAGGTTAAATACCCCTTAGCTTTGCTTTTTCAAGAAAGGTTAGAATATTCAAACCCTCCCTCAATACAGCAAACATTCTGAGGATTTACCTCTCATCACTAGTTTACAAATCAAACCAAACAACAATTAAGAAAACCATGTCCCCTTTAAAAATGCTAAGCATTCAACATGAGAACCAAAGCCTTCAGGATGATCATCTCCATCTGAAAGAAAGCAGAGGCACATGGTCTACACATGTGTTCTTGTTTACAGCATGCGGGGGGAAAGGGAGCAAGACTTCCAAGTGATCTAACGCAATACCGACTCGTGATATTAGAGATACCACAGTTACGAATGCATGAAAAGGTTGAAAGAAAATCTGTCTAGAATCAAGGCTCACAGGTCATACGCCGCATTACAAMGTTTCTTTGTCGGGGAACTAAATGTTGCCCACATCTCACCTGTAGGTTGGTGAGCTGCTGCTGCTGATGGGCTATGGTCTGCTTCACCAACACACTCTTAATGCTTTGTTCCATGGCATACTTCTTTGCCTAAGAAAAGGAGAAGTAATTTGAACACCTCGTAGAAGCAAAGGATGACCGAAGACSTTTGCASAAAAGACCAGATGGCGGATCTTACCCTCTGAAGTGCCTCCTGCTGCTCTGGGGTAAGAGGCGGTAGGCCAAGCTTGGAGCCTGTGCCCTGTCCATTCTCCATCGTCAGAGTTTCACCTCCCTGCATTCAAGATATAGATAAATATTAATAATTAAACATAAATTATGTATATGCCCTGTACCACCATAACTAATATCAGAAGGGGAACAAATTCTCCTAAAGCTCATAATAAATTAATATCAGTAAGATTTTAAAGATGGAGCCGGGTGTGACCCAGGTGGTCTTGGATGAACTCTTTACTTACGCGACACTAATCGTTTGGTCCACCAGACTGAGAAAGGAAAACCCCCAAGGGGAAGAGCGCCGATGGGGAAGCTTTAACAATTCAAGTCTTTCTAAGGAAAAATAACAATAAAAAAATAATCCATTCAGACTAAAACTGAAAGAAAGTCAGCTTAATAGTCAAGTTGCATTAAACTTAGCTCAGCTTTTGGATAACATATATTCATCACGGTGATGCGCACAAAAACGACGTGCATCCAAACACACGTTTAGCATGCTTACGGTAATACTTGGTTTTTAAAATAAAATGACTTATATGCTGTCATGTAAACACACCCCGAAGTTACATCCATACAACTTCAACTAGAAAATCGTCATAAAAAGCGTAAAAAGGTTAGCATGGCCTAATTTCTATTCATCTCTCAGGAAGCCTCCGAAGCTAGCAGACATTAGCTCACGTCGGGCATTCGTTATGGCGCGTAAGACAAACCGTGCTTTCCCCAGCTTATTTACAAACTATTCGGTACAGTTATAATGCGCAAGGCATTGGGTGTTAATTTACGCAACAAACAACGACCATAAAAGATTGTTCATGTATCTTTTAATCGCCAAGAGTATTTACCGCAGTCTTCGTAACCGCCATGAAGCACACCTTCCATAAAGGCCCCACACTGACCTACGCTCGCGAGACTTCCTGTCTTTCAAAGGAAGATCTCGCGATAACACAGAACCTCGCGGTGAAYGGAGCTTGCTGGAAATGCGCCTCTCCGTCACCAGTGGCGCCTCCAGGGTTTTTTATTTTTAATGGGGTGGCCGTGTGGGGGCCACATAAAAATAAAAATAAAACTGTGGCGGCACACCAAAAACTAGAACAGAATTTCAGGAGATTTGTTATGTTGTAGTCATGTATAGGTGATATGACATGACAAATACAGCAATTATTATTAATGTTATATTTTAAGTAATGTTTTTGTTTTGTGAAAATTTGATGTCACAGACGCTTCAAGTTATTTTTTGTTTTAAATAAAACATTTATATATTTAACTCCTAATTTCTAAAAAAAAGGAAAAAAGAAAAAAATAATAAATTGTTTGTTTTTACGTCTTTAAAAGTTCTACTAATCATAAACAGGGAAAATTAAAAACGCACTCAACAGGATAAAACTGTCAGGGTGAGGGGGCATCAAATTTTTTAAGAGATGGCCATTTGAAAACAATACTGTGGGCTATATCTTGCTTATTGTAACAAATTAWCAAGCCACAGACTTGTGTGTTTTCCTCTGCCACTTTAATTTTGACTTCAGCTGCTTATTAAAACTCAATGTTCTAAAACCTTCCATATTTGACAGAGTGGTTCAAATGTTTGACTAAATATTAGGGCTGCACGGTATCAGGAAAGCCTCTTATGTGCGATAACAGTATTGCGATGGCAGTTTGACTTGCTATAAATGAACAAATAAATATGTAGTGTTGATGTCTTTCTGTTCTGGGTTTGGGGCAAAAACAACAAAAAACTAATCATTCCAATATGAATTTTTAAAAACTATGAAGARATTTATCCAGTTGATTGGTGAAATACTTCAAGCTTACATGACAAAATGCATAAAGGCAAACTTTTGAGACAACCATTTATTGCAGTTTATGCAGTTTTTTGCTATATGCACATTGCACAGGCTGTTATCGTGAGGACAGTAAATTTTTTGACAAATTGCACAGCCCTAATAAATATGACAATGCTCCCTAGCAAACTAATTTAGTACTTTTTATTTTTACAAAATATACTTAAGTATACTCTGGTGTTTCTGATTAGAAACCATAAAATAATCAACATCAAATCAAATTTTTATAACTTACTCAGTCTTTATCATTTCAGACAAGAATCAACATGTCAAATCTTGTTTATTTTTTGTTTTTTAATCACAGATGCTACAATATTTAACAAAGGTTTAACATCCAAAAGCAAATGTCATTCAACAGATTCACAAGGACGGGAAAAAAGTCATCAAAAATAAAAAGACTGATATGCATGTACAGCCTAAAACATTCATTTTGTTTGTCAGTTCCTGTCCGGAGCTCAGCTGTGATGGAGAGAAGAAAAAAAAAAGCAAAATGCAAAGTTCTGAATGGTTGCAGGTTATTATTAAGACATGCAGTTTATTAGAGCACAGAGCTGCAGCGGTGCTGCATTGTATTGTATTAAAGTAAACCAGTTTAATAAATATATACACCACAATCCTGCTGTCTGAGAGCATCCCCGTCTGTACAGACACACTGACGAGCAGACTTGAAGAAGAGTATAATCCAGTACTTAAAGCAATGACTGTACAGCAGCATTACTGGTAAGAAACTGCAGCCTTACACATCCAGAAAACAAAYGGAGCTCAGTTAGCCTAACGAAAACATGAAGACATGTCACTTGCTAAAGATGGGTCAAAAACTTCATGTTTCTTTTTTTTAAGTGTTGTTTTTTTGTCAAGGCAAAAATCCACCCAAATTTTTAGAGTTTTTAGGCAGAACATGTAGTGTAAATGAATATTTTGTTGCGTCTGCAGTGCAATCACTTCCAAATTTCACATTATTCAGAATAAAAGCACAACAGTTAGGAAAACCTGCTTAAAACGAAAGTTTTTAAATCTGCTATTAAAGGACTTTACTTGTGCTGTCCCAATGAAAATATCTACTAACATTGTTTATTGTAAAATACTAGTTAAAGCAGAAAACTGAATTTGACCATTTTTAAAGATTTGGGTAGATTTGCCTTTCAAGTATCCACAGATATAGTATTTACAAATTAGACGTATTAAAATATTTGCAAAATTTATSAACAACTTGGCAATTTTCTATTTTTAAATGTTAAATCTCCTTTCTTWGACACTCTTTTTGTCATTATGCTGGACTCAAACGCTGACGTTTTCTACRTTTTCTTCGACGTCCGACATTCCTACATCGACTAGAAGGAAGTGGAGTAAAGATCCTTTTCACGTTCACACAGGCCACTTTTCTGCACTCAGGATTAAAATATGTGAGCAAATTTGAAAGTTCASAGCAGATTGTCCAGTTAAATTTGAGCCTAATGTTTAATTTCCAYGCTGTGGCGTTTCGTGAGGACTTTTCTCCAAAGCACATTGCCGTATCAGGCACTTTGCAAGTCTTTGGCTTTCAGAGCACGGTCACAGGGAAAACCCTTAAAAGCAAACTATAGGCTAAAAGGGAGACATCATCTCAGAGCTCGTCATTTCAGATGCATTTAAAGTGGCATGCTGAGCTGAGATGCAGCCGTTAACCCAGGAGTGCAAGTAGRGGAGGGGAGGGCTCACTTTGCTGGACTAAAAGATAACGGAAGTAGTCAAGAGAGCTGTGCAACGCTTCGACTGCTCACAGTTACAAACAGAAAATAAATAACTGAATGAGTTCTAACAATGCATGTAGGACGGAATATTAAATTCCAAAAACGGTAATGAGCTGAAATGCTTGCAAATGAGAGAAGCTTTAGCAAATCACTTTCGTTTACAATTCAGTGTGAATCATTAAAAGTGGGCACTGGAGTGCAAATGAGGCATGGAACAATAAAATGTCCTTCTCAAACACCAGTAAGTCAAACGTTTTCTCTCATCAGTGGCGTTATGGAAAACTGAAGTTTCAGGATATTTTAAGGCGTGGTAGCCCTTTCAGGAAGGGATGTCGTGGATCTCCCTCTGCTCTGTGGGGGTCGCTGGATTCAACCGTGAAGCCTCTGAAAAACCAATCAGAGGTGCCATCCGTTTCCCTCCCGCCGCTGGCTTTCACCTTCCGTTTAACTGGGAAAATATACCGACTTTCAAGTGTCGACATCCGTCTGTTTGTCCCATTTTGTCTCCCCAGCTGGGTCTTCTGCTCCTTGCATTTGCAGCTGTGTGATCCTGGCCCCCCGCCCTCTCTTTTTCTCCACCTGTGTGATCAATGCCCCCCCGCCACCCTCGAGGCCCTTCAGTTTGGGCCAGCCGCCACCGCCGCCGCCGTCACGACCCTKTCCTCACTGCGTGCTCCCTGACGCGAGCGCTTGGACCCGATGTCGGCTGATGGCGTCCTCCAGGAACCCCGCCACCTTCTCACTGTCCTCCTGAACAAACCAAGAAGCACACTTCAGATCTGCTCTAAACATCAAACACACACGGTTCAAATGAAGACATTTATATTGTTAGAGGAAGAGATAAACTAATTAATCAGAAAGGTACAAAGTGAAGGTTTTCCATGTACCTCGTTTATGAAGGCATAGTGAACAAGTTCACTGGCAAGGTCTTTCGGGGAGTCCGCTGAAAGTTTCACATCAAATATTTCAGTTAGAAAAAAAATCATCATCACGTCCACACCTACCCTCATCCCTAAAACAAATCTACAGAGGAAAAAACAATACTCCTAATAGCTGCTCTTTTTTGCTTTATTACAAAAATATTTTATCAATAAAATGTGTTTGTGTCTGACTGGAAAAATGTCTTATTGAGTCTAAGTCACATGTGTCAAACTCAAATGTGGCCCATCACAGATTTTTATGTGGCCCGTGAAAGCTTCAAAGATGTATTAGTGTCTTAAAATAAGCTGCTTTAAAGACAGCATTAACCATAAACTACATCTCCCATAATGCATGTTGATTGGTCTCCCTGACTGCATCCCACCACTAGGTGAAGCTGCACAGAGTTCTAAAGTGAAATTTGTCATGTCAAATCTCCTTTTAGCGGCATTTTTCTGATGTGTGGAAAAGTCCCACTTACAAGTCGTAAATATTAACTGGAATGCCCTTTCAGTGGGAATTCCCTGTCGGAAAGTGGGAGAGTTCAGAATTCAAGATGGCAGATATTTACCACAGCTAAACAGTGAGTGAAACTCTTAAGCCTCTTTCATAAGACAGCTCAGTCCGGACTGATGTGTGTTCTGTCCTCCKMCGAGCATTCAGAAGAAACAGGGAGGCGAGCCCGCCTCTGATGTGCCCCTGAGCAGAGGTAGTATCAGAGCCGGGACCGAGACCGGTAGACCCACTTGTGAAAAAGCAATCCTCGGTTCCGCGCTCAGAAATGATAATGAGCTGATGACATCAATGAGCGACCACAGGATCTAACTAACAAGCAGATTTATTACAGAGGGGATATTGAATGGCASGAAACAGCATCTGTACCTATTTGAGCCACAGGTTTGCTATAATGAGCTGATTTCCTTTCTTCTTTTTTTTTTGCTGATACGACTCAGAGACAGTAGCCGTGTTTCCATCCAATTTTAATTTTAATTTTGAGCAAATTTTTAAAATTTCGCAAAAAGGAAAAAACAAATAAATGCAAATCAGACGTGTTTCCACCAGCTGGCTTGAAGTGAATCAGTTACGTCAGACGCATGCGTGTAGTAAACAGGAAGTAAAAGTCGCAGCTCAAGAAAATGGAGAGAAGTTATCATGAACGTGTTGCTGCAAAGTTGTACTTATTCAGTCATATCGACTAGTTTTGGCGATGTTACATGCTGTCTGGAGACGTAGAGAAAGAAATGCAATTCTCTTCATGTTACAGGAATAAGAACACGCCGACAGCAGGAGGAGGGTTCAGCTGCAGTCGCTCTGGTACCGGTACTGGTTTCAGACAGACAGCGAGAACAGCTGATCAACATGTGAGGATAAAGCCGGGCCGGTCTGTGCAGTGATTTCGCTGATTTGACTTATGAAAAAGGCTTTAGTTTTACTTTTAATAGTATTTCTGTGTTATTTATTTGACATTTAGTCAGTCGTACATGTAGTACTTCTCAGTGTTTTTAAGAGAACATGTAAAAACACTTTTTATGCAGGAAACACCAYGTAGAGCTCAGTTATAGTTTATTAGCTCAGCAGTAGCAATAAGATGAGGAACGTGACGATTCATGCTTAGTTGARGTTAATAACAWCTGGTCCTATGAGGGCCACCATAATGCTCATGTGGCCTGCTGTGAAAATGAGTTCAACATCCCTGGTCTTAGTGATTGGTTGTTTCTGACCTTAGTGTGGAAGATAATGTGTTTTTACCTTCAATATGCAGAACTTACTTGGAAAGATGTCACAGCTCAGCTGCCTGTGAAGTTTGTCATCCATCTTCAGAAACAAAGAGAGCTRGGAAGAAACCAGAAGATCAACATTTAAACTAGGCAGCTTGTCTTTTCCCCTCATAAAGAAACTTCAGGAGACGATACATCACTTCATCTTTTAAGTAGCCCAGACTAAAGTGTTTAAACTAAAATGGACAAAATACCATTAGTACTATGACTCACATGAGTTTTGGTCCCTTCTTCATTTGACTCCAAGTTACAGTGCATCTGAACAACCTACAAACACCAACACGTTGTCAAAGAGTGAAAAATGTGCTTTGTTTCAACCTTTTGTTTGTAACTTTTTTTTTTTGCAGTGTATCGAACAAGATTCTCCAGAAATCTAAAAGTCTAACCTTTCTGGTCTCGGTCTCCTGGGGTTCAGGAGTCGGTGACTTCACAGTCTCAACCTGCTCCTGAGACAAGGACAGGGCTCGAGGGACAGGGTGAGGGCGAGACGAGGCGAAGTTCATCAGCGGGTAAATCCCATTTCTGAGTAAGGAAAAGGACGTCACGCTGAAATCACAGAGTTTCCACAGAGACTGAACAGATCAGAGACTGAAGCTCTACTTACTTGACATCCTCCAGAAACTTGTCCAGCTCTAAAGGAGAAACATGAGAGTACCTAGAGATGAAAACACAAAGGAGAGCGTGTTAAACATCACCTGTCGTGTTACAACCTCAAAAGAGACGATAAAAAAATGTGATTTTACTTGAGCTGAACTCCCAGTCGGTCTTTGTGTTTAATCTCAGCCATGACGGCGCTAGGGTCGAACGACTTGGTTTTCTCTTCCACACAGTTTTCTGGAAGCATGTCTGTGGATAAAACACAAATTTAGAAAAAGAAAAAAATCTAAGAAAGTAAGAAAAAATGTGATTAAATCAAAACACTTGTTGCAAATCTTAAAAAATAAATAGAAAAGGCAGAAAGCAACTGAACATCTAAAATGTGATTTGTTCGTTACGACGAGCTTTAAAAGAGCAGATGGGTGATTTTTTTGTGGCCGTCTTGGCGGCTCAGGCAGCGCGTGGAGGTGAGAAACTCACACTGGTTGTTGATGAGGCAGTGGGCAGCGAGCAGTTTGAGGGAGTGGACTTCGAATAGGACTCTGTGGAACAGGAGGTCGTGAGCTGTRGGGCGGAGCTTGGGGTCGTGACGTAAACACGACTGCGTGAACTCCTGCAGAGCGCGGAGAAAAACAGTRAATGCAACACAACTGGACACGACGAGTCAAGTTTTACAAAAACATTCGCAACATTWCTGGACAAATTCCTGTATTCAGCTCAACGTATTTAGGTCATAAAGCGAGACTCACTCTCATGAGGGGGTCTTCCAGAGATTGACCTGCGTTGACGATGGCCTCTTTAGACACAGCAGTGTCTCCATTGGCCTGGATTTCCAGCACTGCCATCTAGGAGTAAAAATAAAGCTTTGACACACACAAACCCACACACAGACAGATGGAAATCTCTTGAACGTGTTTTGTCTTCTCACCTCCAGAGCGCAGATGCCAAAGGAGAAAATGTCTATGGAGTAATCATCTTCACCGGCTGGAGAGAAAACAGACGACAGAAACATGAGAAAGAAAAAAACTGATTTCACAAACAATGAAATGTGACTACAATCATATCCTCTCTCAGTTTTAAGGTTTATAAAACAGGATTTTTTTGTATAAAATGGAGGCTAATACTACAACACATGATTTATGGCATGATGAGATTATTTAAAGAACCAAACAGTAAAACCAGAATATAAAAAAAAGCACAATTCTTCATGAACAAGCTTAAAGAACCAATTAAAGCAGCAATWATTTACCCACTTATGATTGATTTTATCAGTAATATTTATTATTTAGCTGCCTTTTTTCCAAAGTTGTCTTAGTTTATTGTTTGTGGACATTTTCAGCATTTTAGCCAGGCTAATGTTGACTTTAAAACATGTTTTTTCCCCTATTTTTGAACCATTATGTTGCAGTTTGTGTTCCTTTGTTTAGGATATTTTACAAACCTAAACATGCTATCACAATGTTTTTGTAGAGAAAAAGAGATTTATTCTGTCAGTGCTTTAAAATAAGCTATACTTGTTCAGCTTTTTCCAACTTTCATAAGCAGAATACAGTGTCATTTATTGGTGGACTTTTTTTCTTTTAAGAAAAAAACATCCACCATTAAACAGAGGTGGAGGCCTTCATGTCCAGTTGTCCTCCYCCAACAACGCTGTTATTATAAGTATGACTCAGCCCCCTGTGAGGAAAAGGTGTGAATCGGGGCCCCAACGATAACCAACACAAAGAGGGAAAAAATAAAACAAGGGGACATTGAGCCCCGCYTGCAYTCACTACATACACATAACAAAACACCAAATAACCACAGCATCCAAACCAATAAGTCAGGTGATGGGGCACATGACCCTCTATGAACAATAGAGCTAATCAAGCCTATTGTTAGGCGATGGCCCTCTTTTGCATGTGACTAAATAAATCTAAACAAGCCTATTGTTAGGCGATGGCCCTCTTTTGCATGTGACTAACCTGTTTGTCCACCATGTGGAGGCAGTGTTTATAAGGCTGATCAAAAAGTCTGAAGAAGTCTCTTGGAGGAGAGACGAAACGTTTCACTAAAGAAGAATCCATCTAGAGGATCTACTTTTTTTTTCTTTTTGATTTTTTCTACCTGAATTACTGAGATGCATCAGGACGTCATTTATTGTTCTTTTCAAAAATGTATATTTACCTAACTTTAAGACCTGGTATTAYGAAGGTGAAGCTTATCTTTAGTTTTATTATGTCACGGTTTATAAAACACTAGAATTAAAAGTATAATGATCATATTTAGCAAAGTCTGACTGTAAACAGTCTATTTTCTCTAAAATTAATCCTCACGTTGTTCTAAATGCCTCCTGACTGACTTGCTTACTGTACTTGAGATGATACAAATGTTTTCTGTCTCACTGACTTTTACCACGGCTCCAACAACACTGGCCCCATTAACTGCTTCAATTACCGCTCAAACGTCTCTATTTCCTGACAGCTCTTTAATGAAAGGTTTCATCTGCTCCTGGCTTTAAGCCCCGCCTCATTACGTTTTGCTGCACAAAATATTTGAAATGACAGGTGACAACAGGTGCTTTTTTTCCCCCAGTGCAATCAAAATAAAGTCTGACTAAATGGACTAGAAATGAGCACCATAATCGTGAAATAAACAGAAAATGTTGGAGAGGAAAAACTGTAGCTGCTGTGACTTGGCAACAACGAGCGKCGGAAATGACAAAAATAAACTGACAAAACAAATAACTTGGAAAAACTGAGACAAGTGATGAATTCCTAGACGTTTTTATTGATTTAAACTAATTTAGTACAATAATACAAACAGCAATAACACTAATAAAAACACTCACCTCCATATTCTGGAGCAAAAAAGTGAAGATTYCTCTGCTCATCTCGGTGTTGCCTTCCTTTACTGTGAACACTGGCATCTGGGAACACTGATAGAAACAAACAGGAGACAAAATCTGATAAAATGCACTAAGTGAACAAATATACTCCACAAGAACAATGAAAAACAGTTATATAAATCTTACCATTAACAAATAGCCGATGCCACACTGTGGAAATGAAAAAGGGAACAATTAAGGTGTTTTTTTTTCTGCTTTTTTAACACTGCAATAAAAATATTTTATATAGAATATGTTTTAGCTGTGCACAAATTTAGGAACGAACAAAATTATCTGTAGTATCAGAGGAAGCCCTGCTGGGGGCAGACCTGAGCCAATCTTGATGAGGCCGTTGTGCTGGATGAAGATTGTGTCRCACGTCAGGTTGCCGTGGATTATTGGAGGGTCGCAGGAGTGCAGATAACTGCCAGTAAATAAGAAAACATCTCATTAAGGGTCAAGCTCTAATAAACAGGCACCTCTGGTGTCACAAACCCATCAGTACCTGAGCGCYGACAGAATCTGGGTACACCATCTCTTCCAGGCCTGGAATAAAAATAAAGAATTAGCTTTAGAGAGAAATATCAGGAAGAATGTACAGAAATGTAAYTAGGCTTGTTGTTATGAGTGATTATAGAAAATTAAATCGTTTAAGCAGGCTGACAAACAGGAAGAGAAAATTCCTGGTTAAATAGAAAAGATATACGACTGAGCAGATTGAGCCACCAGGATGTTACATAATCTTTAATCCTGCAGGAAATATGGATCTAAATAACGACAGAACTGCAGTTCCTTCAACCAGACCCGAGTAAAAGTACTCGCCTTCACATTCATGGTCTTGTGATTTTTCTTTGTCTTCTTCAGGAACTGCTTCAGACTGCCTGACGACATGTACTCTGTGATGAAAATAACCTGTCGGCCACAAACGGTGGAAAATAAGAAACTCAGAAGCGTGTGCTTTAAAATAAAACGAGTACAAAACAGGAGGTGAAAGAYTGAAATTCTCACCCGAGCCTGGGTCTCCTTCATGTCCAGCCAGTACTTGTGAAACTTGACTATGTTGGGGTGTTCAACCTGCATCAAGTTCTCAAACATCTCTTTGATTTTCTCCTGCACAACAAACATACAACAGATCAAATTCTCACCTCACAGAAAGCTGATCAGTAAAACATAATAAAAACAATTTTTTTTCTTATGTTCTGTTGATAAATAGTGAATTTTAGCTGAAATAAAATGATGTCTCATTAAGTCACATTATACTTATAGGATGAGGTTAGGTTTTGTGAATTATGATCCTATTAGACATTTTAAAAAGCATTGGCTCATATACCTCCTGGGTAAGCTGCAACCTGGATGCAACTTATGCTCATTAAGATTTGGTTTAAAAAAAGACTAGCATTAAAAAAGTAACGTAAAGCTGTGGGTAGTATGATAAAACCTAAATTCACTTAAAATACAGTTTATAGAAACATCTTTCCAGTACATTTTGTCACAGAATGATTAAACACATTTGGCTGCCTTGAATAAAACCATTAAATGAACAAACTTAAACTAGACTGTCAATGCTAAAGGAACCAACAGGGGGGAAAACTGCTATGCTGCAGCGTTATTTTACCTCCTGAGCTTTGAAGACCTTCTTGTCAGAGAAGAGAACTTCGTTCCACACCACCTCCACACCTTCCTCTGTGTCCATGGCCAGAGAGGCGCTCTCCACACCGGGGACATTCCCTTGGCTMACCTGAAGAGGACACATGTGTAGCAATTAGCATCATGCTAACAACATCTCTGACCACATATCTTACWTTTWCATGCATGTCTTTCTTTATTAAAGYTGTACATTGAAGCCAACATATTATTAAATAAACATATATAAAGATAAAAATATGTTTCTCTTATATCGGGTCATGAGAAARCAGACAGTGAAGCAAAACATATCACTACAGTTTTAYAGCAGCTGTAAAACAAAAATACAAYAAAGCCAGGTTGRCATTTTTATTCTGCAGCTACATCAAATACAAAAACATAAATTGCAATTTTAATACTAAAATACTAAATAATGTGTCCAGTACAGGTGGGTCAGTCCRTGCCAAATCACCCAATGATCTCAACCATCTCAGATTTTGATGAAMATTATTATTTATTTGTTCATTGTGATCTCACAGCACATTATCTCAAATTTTAGGTCAGTCAGACCACTGGTTCCAGAAACATGGACCCCCAAAATTTTGGATTTTCTGCAAAAATGTCTGTATATGTTCAACCCCAATTATCTCAGATACTACTGGGTCAATTTTTACAAATGTGGTATCATTGCAAAGGTAATTTGCCTTTACATTTTTGGTTTGAGTAATTTATTTTTGTTCAGGAGCAATTTTGTTTAAAAAAATAGAAATTGGATGAAATTATAAAATGCATTCTAAATGTACATGGTTACATGAATATGCACAATCCCACTTACAATGAAGTTGGGATGTTGTGTAAAACACAAATGACAGAATGTGCAGATTTACCAATATGTTTCAACTTATATTCAACTGAATACACTACAGAAACAAATTACCTTTCCAATAATACCAAGTATGTGAAAATTGACCCAGTAATTCCTGAGATAATTGGGGT